ACTAATTCAACAGGGCTATAAACAGTTTTTGGCTGACAAATATAAGGATAGACATTAAGTCGGGGTCTAAAAAAGAAGAAGGGGCTAGGATGTTAGAGGGAAAGGGGGACAAGAAACAAGAAAGTGAGAACAAAAATAAGAGAATGTATGATTATAAAAGACGCATGTGATGGATGTCATTTTTCAAATTTAGGTACCCTTCCCTTTTCCTCTCCACTTAGTACATTAATTTGCTCACATGATATTCCTCACTGTCTTGTATTGTTCCCTTGCATCTTTGCCCCCAAGCCATATGCAAGACTGTGCAAGTGGCGCAACAATAACCATGTCAAGACACAACTTTTTTTCTTTTACATTATGTCATAATGATATATAAATTTTCACACTTGGTAGTCTCTTGTATAAAATTTTGTTTGCTTTTTCCTTTCAGAGTACGCTGCAAGTCCTCAACATTGCTGGAAATAACTTGGATAGCATTAGAGACATTGAATGCTTACGCAACTTGTATCAGTTACATGCAAATGACAATTTACTGACAGACATGAAGGAGCTTGCTCATGTTATTGGAGGCATGTTTAAGTTGTGGAGGTTAGACCTTATGGGAAATCCCCTCTGTCACAAGGCAAAATACAGAGACAGGGTCATTGTAATGGCCAAAAATCTCGGTAAGTCCCTGAGTCTAAATATATCGTTTATACAAGATTATTTTTCGCCCATGCTATTTTCGCTGTTTTACACTTGCAAACAATTTTGACCCATTTTAAATTCACCCAGTCACAGTTCTGTTCAAGAAATTGTACTATTTTCTTTGAAATTGCCCCATTTAAAATTTGCCCACCTGAGAGAGGGCAATTTAGTGGGCAAAAATAAAATGAGGTCGAAAGTTTCCCTGTGTACAGTATACAAGTCAATACATGCACATACAAAAATACTGATGATTATAATTTTACTGTATTTACCAGAAGTCCTAGATGGAAAAGAAATAAGTGAAACCTCCAGACAATTCCTACACAGCTGGCACGATGCCAGGGAGGTGCAGAAAAAGCGTAGAGAGGAAAACATGAGGAAGGGGAGTGGAGAATTCGGAGATGGTGAGTTGGAAAATTAATTCCTCTCAGCTTACTCTTACCCTGAAATTCACTTACAAAATATCCCTTGGCATCTTCTTAGGCCTTTCACCAGAGCTAAAAAAAACCTCAAATGTTTTACATCACAGGATGGTTAAATTTTATACAGAAGAAGTCTCTACTTATTTATTAAATTATTGGATAGACAGAGCTGAATGAAACTCTAGGTTGAGTTTTCTCTAAGTTTTTGTACATGTAATATGTAAAAGTGCTATATTCAGTGATGATAGTTTAAGAACTGAAATTGTAATTTGTTATAGGTGCCCTTTTACGGGAGTTACCACCTGTTAAGGATTATCCTCGCCTCCCAAGCAAGATTCCCGGATACATGATGCCTGGTAAGTTCAACAGTTGGATTATTCCTGCATTTTCTTGTATGAATGCATTGCATGAAGTTGTTTATTGCTGAATGAATGTCCATAATATGTCCACCTATATTTACAGATAATAGTCTGAAACAGGTATCCCTTTATGCTTGTGGCTAGTCAAAACATATATTACCCAGTCTTCCCAACCTATACCTGTCTTATCTTGCATGTTAGGAAATAGTTTAATGGAATAAATAATGCTCTCAGTACAAATATATTATATATTAGCCAGATTTAGTGGAAAAAATGAAAATGACAACTTGAATATACATGTATTACAATTTAAAAATGCATGATAAATGATAGTAAAAATTCCTTGATAGTTTTGACTTTCAGTGGGCATTGCATGCTTGCATCACATCAAACTGTCAAGCAGTACATCTTGGATTAGATATAGTGTCTTGCAAATAGCAACTGGAAATGTCAAAGAATACAATTTTCTACATTTGATGAATAGACCTGGCTTATATTAATCTCATTGTCCACAACACTTGAAAGTCCAAACTATCAAGTTAAGTTGTTTTAATAATGATATTCAGGTTAATTGTTGTCCCATACAGTGCAGTGAAGTGACAACCTAACATTCAGACCAAACAGGGCTCTCTGCTGAAGTGGGCGATGTAAAAATCAAATTCCAATGGGAAATTCATACTATTTTTTCTCATGATTGGAATCTTACTAAAAGTAGTACTTTATTCAGAGGGGTTGAAATCAAAGAAACCATTCTTTAATGTTTTTATGACGGGAGACTGGAGAGTTTCTAAATGGAGCATCTAGTCAGGGTCCACACTTGTCTATGATTGCAATGGGCCAATGAAAAGCCCGTAGTGTTCTCAATACAGAATAGATATATACACTCACCCTCCCCCTCCACCACTAAATGGAGTCATTTAATTTTTTTTCTGATAGTGCTATTAATATAAAATGTACTGATTGTTTTTCTTGATAAATGGATTTTATATTTATTGATTTTCCTATTTCCCAAAAGTATGCCACATTTCTCAATTTCAACTACCTCCTGGTCCTCAAAATTGCCAATTTTTGACTTCATGTTACAATTTCCCCCCTAATTTCTTAAGCGATGGCCATTAAATCTGAGAAGTGAGAGCCCTGTCAGCTATTCTTCACAATTAAAAAAAAATAATGTCACAATCACTTGTTCATACATTAAATACATGAAGTCCATCACCTTATTTGTTTTATTGTGAAAAATCACAATTAACAAGACTTAAGCATGACTGAGAATGACTGGATCAACTGCTGCACTTAATCAACCTTAAAATTCTAATGCTTATTCTTTAGAGAAACTTAAATGACATATGTATGGAGCAGGCAAAGAGATAAAAATCAGATTAATTAAAAAAAACAAGTATAAGTTGTATGCCACTTGATTCTTCAGAGGAATAATATACTTTGGCTGTCTATAGAAACATTATTATTCCTCAAAGGAATGGACTTTGGTTGTCTAAACATCATTGCTCTACATAGGAATGGACTTTGGTTGTCTTAACATTATTGCACACATAGGAATGTACTTTGGTTGTCTTAACATCATTGCTCTACATAGTAATGTACTTTGGTTGTCTTAACATCATTGCTCTACATAGTAATGTACTTTGGTTGTCTTAACATCAATGCTCTACATAGTAATGTACTTTGGTTGTCAAAACATTATTGCTCTACATAAGAATGTACTTTGGTTGTCTTAACATTACTGCACACTTTGGTTGTCTAAACTTGTCTTAACATTATTGCACGCATAGGAATGTACTTGTCAAAACATCATTGCTCTACATAGGAATGTACTTTGGTTGTCTTAACATTATTGCACACATAGGAATGTACTTTGGTTGTCTTAACATTATTGCACACATAGGAATGTACTTTGGTTGTCTAAACATTATTGCACACATAGGAATGTACTTTGGTTGTCAAAACATCATTGCTCTATATAGAGATATACTTTGATTGTCTAAACATTATTGCACACATAGTAATGTACTTTGGTTGTCTAAAGATTATTGTTCCACATAGGAATGTACTTTGATTGTCTAAACAGGTAGAAAATAATGTGAAATTGTTAAATCACCACTTTATTTCGTTTCGTGCACTTGAAAAGTAAACTTTTGAAATTTTGGCAAAACTTTTGTGACCCTGTACACTAATTACTGGAAGAAGGAAAAATTAAAAGACACTGAAAGTACATACATGGAGTTTCATGTAATTAGTCATGTAAATCACTCGGAACTTGAGTCGAAAAAAGTAACCTGCATGTGAGTACCCTCTCCATGATTTATATACTTGATATTAGAGTTATTAAGGTGAAATATTCTTGTTGAAGTAAAATTAGTACATTGCTTTCAGGACTTATGATGAAAGGTGAGACTTGCATGTAAACTGTAGTAATTGCATTAGGTAGACTTTAATAATTTCTGTAGTAGTTTGTGAAAAGATGTTATTTCTTACTTTTTATGGATTTTATAGAAGTTATAAATAAGTTAGTCTATTTAGAAAATGATATTTTTAACTTTTTAGCTTACCTGAGCTGAAGGCTCAAGTGAGCTTTTCTGATAAGAATTTGTCAGTTGTCTGCCACAAACTACATTTTCATTAACCTCTCCAGAACCACAGGTCCGGTTTCAACCAAACTTGGCAAAAAGTATGTTTTGGTAAAGGGGATTCAATTTTCTTCAAATGAAGGTCCACTTCCTCTTCCTGAGGGAGATAATTAAGAAATAATTTGGTGGTATCCGTTAAAAATCTTCTCCCCCAGAACTATCATAACGGGCCAGAAAAGTTTAAACTTATTTGAAACCTTTTTTACATACTGTAGATTCAAGCTTTTTCAAATCAAGACCCTATGGTATAAGTAGGGGTCACAATAGAGGATAAAAGATTTACATTATAATACATAGATAAAAAAAATCTTTAACAATATTCTTTTCAAGAACAACAAAGCCATGTTATTAGTTAATTAATATAAAAGCATTAATCAGATAAAGTAGATTAAAGTTAGTTCAAATCTTGACTCCTTGGGTTTGGTAGGGGCAACAATAGAAGATGAAATTTTTATGTAGAAATTAATATACATAGAAAATCGTTAAAAATTTTCTTTTCAACAGCAGCAAAGTCAGCTTGTGTAGTCTAATTGATATGAAAGCATTCCTCATCTAGTGTAGATTTAGGTTTGTTCAAATCATGACCACAATACCAAATCAAATTTTTACATAGAATTTATATATAAGAAAAGTATCTTGAAAATTCTTCTTCTTTGACTTTAGAATAGCAAAGTCTTGTGCAGTCATATTAATAATGAAAGCAATATCCTCTGGTATTGTAGATTAAGGTTTGTTCAAATCATGACCCCAGGGTGAAGGTGGGTGAAGGTTGGGTCACAATGGGGTATCAAAGTTTAACATAGGAACATGTAGGGAAAAAAAATTTCAAGGAAAGCAATGTCTTCTGTAGTCATATTGTTTTAGAAGCATTGTCAGGTTAAGTAGAATTAGGTTTGTCCAAATCATGACCCTGGAGATAGGTTAGGGCCCTAATAGGGGATCAAAATTTAACATAGAAGTAACAATTCTTCTCAAGAACATCAATCTCTGGCAGTCTTAAAAATTCAGAAGCATCCCCAGAGTAATTTTGAATGTGCTCCAGTCCTGTCCCTGGTGGTAGGGCAATTAAGGCCTAAAAAAAGATCTAGCCAAAGTGCTCAGGTGAACAATGTGGCCCATGGGCCTTTTGTTTCATTTGATTATTAGTAAATTATGTCTTACTATGGTTTACATTTATGAATTCACACTATACTGTAGTATATTCTAATGAAGAATACAGTTGTACCATCATTTCGGTAGTGAAGCTAAATTATCATCTGATCGGTTGTGTAGTATGTGGAAAAATAACATGACATACAAGGGTGATTGTACTCATATATTTACTTATCCTTTTTAATGTAATAATCTTTTTTTTTAAACTTTATGTTTATGTGTAGATTAACTTAAACTAAAAACTGTGGATGTGTTTGTGCTCTTCTCTTAAAAGCAAGGTTTCTGAAATTGAAATTAGTCCTCTAAACATTGTCTTCATATATTAAATTACTGCTGAACAGCTAAAAAAAAATTTTAATGTTGATCAAAAAGTCCATGAGTTATACTTTAAATATTATATGTTTAAATGAATTTATGAATTAATAGCCGTGTATTTCACCATTTAAGTACCATATTTTTAGCTCTACTGGTCAGAGACCAGAAATGATTATGCAATAGTAAATCATCTGTCATTCACTTGTCTATCTGTCTGTCTGTCAACAATTTTTCAAAACGCTACTCCTCCTACAGTTTTGGTGTGATTTCAGTATAACTTTTCTCACAAGTAGACACTTAAGATATGCATAATTCTGTGTATCTCTTTCTGATTTTGATGAAGTGAAGCCATGGTTACTTAATTCTAACATTCTTCTAAATGGCTACACCTCCTACAGTTTGAACCTGATTGCAATAATAAGTTTGGCTACAAAAATAGACTAAATCAAGAATCATTATTCTATTTACTGCTGTCTCAATTCAGACAGTCAAGTCCAAGTGCTAGTACAAACCAGTAGAGCTACAGTCTCGTCGGAGACTTTTGGTCTATTTTGGAGATTTATGGATTCACTCAAATTATGAAAATAAATCATTTCAAGCATTTTTCATGTACAGTCAAACTTGTATTTTATTTCAAGGTTTACCCAGGAAGCAATTTGACGAAATTCTTGCAAGAACCAACAGCAACCTTGCCGAGGACTCTTCCCAGAAACATTCCGCCTCTATGAAGACTCGAAGTGGGATCTTGCGATCCAAGTAAGTATATTTCATGTATCATATATTCATGCAGTTATTCAAGAAATAAAACTCATGATTTGTCAAGTGATTCACATTTTTAATCGAAAAAATGTAGTCCAGGAAAGTGAAAATTATTTTAAATTTTGAAATAAGTTAAACATTGCATGTAGTGAACTACAGTGTTTCTTTCATGTAGTCTGCACAAAACAATTTGGAATTTAAAAGAAAACAACCAAACAAACTTTGTTTTATCATCAGTTATAAATGCACTGTATTTCACAGCACTATACAAATATCAGGTAGTTGATCAAGTCTTTGCTATAAATTTGTTACGTGGCTTATTATTTTTGAAGTATTTTTTTATTTATAAGCATGGAGTTTAATGAAGTTTTCTGTTACTATATACACACATCAAATTAATTTTTGCAGAAAGTTCATTGATTCAAGTTTACATGTTATATGCTTTAAGAAGTAAATAGATTATTGAGGGTTAATATGATATACTTATTTCACTTTCTATGGTTTATAATTATACAGAGGAAATTGTAATGCATATACAGATGAAATCTGAAGTTACATTCATTTGTTTTATTGCTAATGGAGTGACAGATGCCAGACATGTATTGTTTTATTCAATAGTTTTAGACTAAGTTTTATATTACAAATGTACAAGAATTATGAATAATATACTAGGATTTCAAACCATTTTGTAGATCTATGATATCGAGTGAATACAGGAAATTGGGGCTCCACAAGTCTATAAAATTTATGCAATCCACAAAAATTGGGCCCCATTAAATTTGATTATTTCACAGTATTTCCAACTTCTTCTTTTGTACAAATAAAATGCCTATACATGGACCTCTCTGAAATGATGAAGAGAGATGTGTTGGAAAGTCAGTATAATTGAAAGATGTTTAGTTTTTCAAGAACACTGGGTGAAAGTGAGGGAATGCATGTATGTGTATAAAGGAACCTATATTGTAAATTTCTAGACTCCGCTGAAAGATATTATGCATGATATTTGGAAGCTTTCAATGTGGAAATCTTGATGAAATTGTCAAATATAACTAATAATTAGTAATAATTCAAAGTTTTCACTGAATTGTCAACTAACACTTAATGTTATACATGTAATATACAGTATCACACGAAAATAAGTGAAATACATTTTTAAGAACATGAATTCTCAAACAGTATGACCATGACAGTTCCTTTACCACGTTTGACTCGTGACATCAATATGTTTGTTGTAGAACTCTAGTGATTGAGTGAGATTGGAGGTATAGTATAGATGCTGTTGCTATGCCACCACATATTACGTGACAAATCACTGCCAATCTGTGTACCTAACAGGTCAACCTGTCTAACTGTGTTGTCAAATCCACCATTGTATTTTGAAGTCCATTTCATATATTATGCAGAGTATATTCTTTTAAATTTGTTTAAAATATCTTGCCTTTTTATATAGAGTGCATGTGTCCTGATATTTTAAAAGACAATTATTTCTAATATTTATGTTCTCTAACAGGCTTATCTATTATATAAATTATGTATTTAATTTTAGCCAGTGTTTTAAATATTAGTTTCCAAAATATGATGATACTTGTATATTCTAAGAAAAGATCTAAATTTTTTAACATATTGTTATTTAAGACTTTTTCAGAACTTTCTTAACTTGATACTGTTCCCTGTGTTCAAACTGAACCCAGCTAATTGTTTTGGACAGTTAGACTGAACCCAACTATTTGTTTCGGACATTTAGACTGAACCCAACTAATTGTTTCGGACAGTTAGTCAGAACTTAGCTAATTGTTTTGTACAGTTAGTCACCAGATCATTTTTTTTTTTGATGTTAGAAACATTTTTAAATTAATTAAGCTCTAGCTGTGTCATATAAAAATGAACTTTGAGGTAAATTTTACTGTACCCTAAATTGTAAAAGGAGAAGCAATGTAATGCTTGAATTAGCTGATATTAAAATAATTTTGGGGTATAATGTTAAGCAAGAAAGTTTATCTCCAAACCAAGTGATATTATACAGAATTTATACACTTAATTTAGAAAAAAAAATGTATTTGTGCAACATGGTTGCCTCTGTATGGCAGCTTTTGGCAAACGTTAAGTTTCTAAAATACAAGTCAAACTCAAAGTTCAAGGTCAAGAGTTTAAAAATAATACCCAAAGATGGGAATTGTCTGATTATACATGTGAAATATGAAAGATGAAAGCTCAAGCACAAATAATATGCCAGTCAATGCCAAGATCAAGGTCATAGAGTCAAACTGAAGGTACCCAGGGGAATGCCTCATCATAAGAAAATTAAAGCCAGCAACTATTTAAAGTTATGGCCAATAATACATGTATCCAGCATAGCATTTGAACAGTTATCAGTATGACTTTCTTTTTTCACAGGTGTATTATTTTTGACTAGACCAATTTTGATCTTGACCTTGGCATTTGACCTACTTTTGAAAAAAATGACCCTGCATGGTCATAACTTTTGAACAGCTGTTGCTAGGGTTTTTATATCCCATTGGTATATTTCTTGTGACAAAACATTACCCAGGGTACCATTAATGTAGACTTTTTGACCATGGCCTTGAATGAATACCAGATATATTCATTGAGACAAGTCCTCTCTTTGGGTTACAGCATTTTTTTTTATCTTTTGACCTTGACCTTGGAGTTTTACTTGCATTTAAGAAAATATAATCTTTGTCATATTAGCTACCATATGGATGCATCAATGTTGAACAAACAAATCTTGTTGTTTTACTTAAAAGTTCCAATTTTTAGGTCACCTGAGTCAACTGAAAAACAGATAGCAATAGGTCACCTGAGTTTAAACCTATTGCTATCTGTTTTTGTCATGTCGTGCGGTGTGCATATTTAAACATTTTCAGCTTCTTCTCTGAAACCACTGCACCAATTTCAACCAATTTTGGCATATAGCATCTATGGGTGAATGGGAACAAAAATTGTGAATTTCGGGTTACTAAAATTTCTTTAAAAATCTTCTTCTTTACTCCCGGACATCAAGCAGTCAAACTGTTGATATTTGTAATCAGCATTGAGTCCTCTATTGTGAAATTCATGGCCCCAGGGTCAGGGGTTCTGGTGTTAGGGCGGGGCTCTATTGATTATATAGTGAAAATGCATTATTTCTTTGAAAATCTTCTTCTCTGTTCCTGAGTATTAAATAAACTAATTAAGTACATAGTTATGATGAGCAAGAGTGGCTCAATACATAACTTATGAATTTTATGGCCCCAGGGTGAGGGGTTCTGGTGTTAGGGCGGGGCTCTATTGATTATATGGTGAAAATGCATTATTTCTTTGAAAATCTTCTTCTCTGCTCCTGAGTATTAAATAAACTAATTAAGTACCTTGTTATGATAACCAAGAGTGGCTCTACCAAAATTGTGAATTTTATGGCCCCAGGGTCAGGGGTTCTGGTGTTAGGGCAGGGCTCTATTTATTATAAAGTGAAAATGCATTAAATCTTTGAAAGTATTCTTCTCTGCTCCTAGGTTTTAAATAAACTAACTAAGTACATAGTTATGATGAGCAAGAGTGCCTCTACCAAAATTATGAATTTTATGGCCCCAGGGTCAGGAGTTCTGGTGTTAGGGCGGGGCTCTATTGATTATATAGTGAAAATGCATTAAATCTATGAAAATCTTTTTCTCTACTCCTGGGTAATAAGCAGATGAACTATTTACATTGTTATGATGAGCTTTTCTTCCAGAATTGTGAATTTTAAGGCCCCTGGGTCAGGGATATAAAAATGGGGAGGGAGGGGGCTCTACTTGTATACTGAAAATGAATTGTTTGAATTCTGCTCCTTGGTATTAATCAAACATTTTTGATAAGCAAGTGTGCCTTTTCAAAAATTGTGCAAGGTGTAGACCTAGGGTCAATGTGTGGTATCTTGATTATTGCTTATTACTGATTAGTTGACAAAGTTATCGGTATTAAGTAAACAAACTAAACAATTGCTAAGTGCATAGTTATGATTAGCAATGGTGCAAAATTGTGAATGCCATAGCATCTAGCTTAAAACATGAACCAAATTCAATCATTTGAAAGTTGTTGCATGATGCTCAGGTGACCTATAAGGCCCATGGGCCTCTTGTAAAACAATGCAATATCCATTGAGAAACCATATGATTCCCTCAAATCTGAAACGTATTAAACTGCATATTTTAAATGGGTACTGTTGTCTCTGGCAGTGAAAAGGTCAGGGTTTCTGCAGAGGCTTCAACTTGGAATAACTTATGGGTCTAGCTTCATCATGCCATGGCATGAATAGGACATATAGTGTTTGTCATGTCCATCAACTTTTGTTCAACAAAGATTAAAAAAAAAAGAATCCTTGTCACCATGCTGGCTTAAGAAATGATTTTTATATTTATGCATATAATTTTTCAGTGTCAATTTTAGCATGTCATAATAATTTTATTTAAACACTTCAATATGTTTCACAGAGTTTGTTGTACACTTTCAGACTGCCTGATATTTTTGGCACATCATTAAGTATTTCACTAAGAAGGGGTTCATTCAGTTATGACCTGGGAGCAGTGTCAAGCAGAAAAGGTTACAACTGTGCAGTGCAGTTTTAACTTCCCAAATAACCCTTTTGTTTTGCCAAAGGCATAATCTTTATTATAACAAGAAGCATTCTAATAGGATTTAGAGTTGAACCAGCATGCATTATTTTTAAAATAGGCATGTTAAGGTCATAAAATTTAATTTCTAAAATTCAGTTTGCCTCAGTATGACTAATAGTAATTCCCTATTCCAGCTCTCTGAGGATATGGGACAGGTACAAGTAAAAATTCAATAAGAAAAATATATACAAAGTGGAAAATTCCAGAAGAAAGAAATAAATACATGTACATATTACATATTTACTAAACTGTTCCATTGAATTGATCCTGACAAAAACAATTTCCACTTTGTATTGTCTTGCTTCCTGCAAATGTCATAAGTTCTGATCTTTTTCAAAAAGGGAAGGTCCTCTTGGATATGGCCGATCATGCACTTGTTTGATACGTATTGGGGATACATATTACACCAGTGGTAAAACGTGTGTTGCTTTTTCGGGAGATATTTGGGTAGGACTTTGAGCTGCAATTTTCACTACATTCTAATACAGATGTCTTTTTGTAAAACTATTTAATTCTTAAGTTGTTTTCCTTCTTAGCCAGATTACAAACTAATTCCAAATATTTCAGTAATTGTATATCCCCTGCAAACAAAGATATGTATAATATTGTTCATCTGCCTGTCAGCATAATATCTTTTCAATAAAGAAACATTGAAAGCCTATACTTGATTATTTGGATATATGCTATGACCTTTACTTAAAGTCATTTTGCAAGTGCAAGGTCAATAGCAATTTTACAAGTTCAAGGTCAATACCAGAAACCTCTTATCCATAACTTTGTAAGAGGTAGGGTGAAAGAATTTAATCATTGCAGGAGGAGGGGCTCATCTCTTTGATAACATATTCCAAACATGAACAGGTTTTTGGGGAGTATCATACATATTTTAAATGAAAGTAACAATATAACTACAACAGATAAAATTGCTTTCTTAATTTTTGTGAAACTAATTGTCATAATCTAAATTTCCTTGTGGTAACATGTATGGAAAATTGCTGCTCAATGTCCCAGCATCTTCTCGGGGTTTCCATGAAAATTTGGTTTTAAGGAGAGCTCTTTGGAATGCAGATCTTTTTCCCAGATATTTGTTTTTTATACATATTTTGAATCAGCTTTTTAATTTATATTTTGAATGCATATTTGGTGTGTTTATTTTTTGATTTTACGTAATTTTTTTTGTTGAATGTGAATTGTTCTCCATGGTAAGTTTAACAAACACTTACACCAATTAATACACTGTACATATAAACCACTGCTGAATGTGTACAGTGTTGGCTTTTTGTTGTGTGACATATGATTTAAAAACTATATTGCATTCTCTGTGTGCTGTCAGATTTTATTTGAATTGAAATCGTATGTGAAGGATGTTGTACAAGTTTACCTTAGATGGTATATTAGGTCATTTGCTGTAAGTACTAGTTAAGGTAAACATTTGCTGTGTCATCAAAAGCAAATGTTAGCAAGTAAATAGGTAGGGTAACATGAAGAATTGAAAACAGATATATCACTCATAAAAGTATTTATAACATAAGAAAATAGGGACTGAATGATAAACAACTTAATTGGAATCAATTGGATTCAATTTCTATATATAATTTTCAGAGATCCATCATAATTAAATAAGAATTTGAGTTTAAATTAAAGAATTTGTAGTTTATTTGAGGATTAGTCCTGAGTAGTTTAAATACAGTTTTTATTTGCCAAAGATATTGACATTTTTTTTGCATGAATGTCCTTGTCAGCTCGTTTAGATTCACCAAATATTTGAACTGATAAAGACTTAAAATTTTCGCTGTCATCTTTCTTGTAATTGCTTTTCTTGTGAAGATTTAAAATGCATTAAAAAGGGGAAAAAAGTCACTATTCATGGATTAATTTTTTTTTTTTTTGAAATGTTGTCCGAGTTTCTAGCATTATTTATACAATTTTGTTCTCTTATTGCAGGCCTTCAGAGGGTATTTCCCCTTTCTCGCTCAATGACAAGATTGCCTCAGCACCTGCCGGACGCCGGAGGAGGCAACCGCTTACTATGAGTTTTGAATTTGGAAATCTTGATCAGAGTCACCACATTCAGAGAAATGACATCATCAACCCCTCATAAACCTTTATTACACTGGTCACCCCGCGGGATTTTGCCAGTTACACTGTACATGTACCGTCCACTAGAGTTATGTTTTTTTGTGTTCAGCTTCAACTCTACTCTAACTTAATTGATGGACTACTGTTTATACATAGAAACAATTTTTATTGAATAATGATACTAATATGTTTGTGAATTTTGCTCAAAATGTTATTGTTCAGAATTCTAGCCTAGTTTGATGAAACATTTTCCTGCTTTCATTAGATATTCTTTGTAATCGTGATATTTCCATATAGAGAACATGCTTCCATTTGCCTCTGTAGTTGTTGAGGAGGTATATAATGTTGAATGGGCTTGGTAACCCTAAGTTCCATTAATATATTCAGATGATGTGACTAACATTTTAGTTAAATTTGGGGTATTTATTTTACTACATGTATTTTGAAAGCATCAGTATTAGAATATTAAACTATTTCATAATTAAACCTTTATGCACTGTGTTTACAGACACTTGGCATTGTCTCATGTTTTTACATTTTTATTGTTTATTGCATGTTGATGAAACTTCAGCTAATTGTTGTGTTTTATAGTTTTGAGCATACAATAATTAGAGTTGTGTATTTAATACTGTGTTAAATAACACTGATAATCACTTCTGATTCAACTTTGATGAAGCCTTTTCTGTGATGCACATGCTTTCTTTTTGTTTTTTGGATCTGATTAATGTCTGTTTGTTTGTACATGCACTGTAAGTATATTAAATTTTCTTTTTTGAGTCATGCATACAAAGTAAATTAATTGATTCTTTGTTGTAATATATGTGGCATAGCATTATCTTTTTTATTTGTGACATGTACAGTATTTAAAGTGCTACTTGGACAAGGTCCAAATGAGTTTTCATGCATATGTTTCTGTCAGACAAAGTATTTTATTTATTATTGACTTTTTCCATCTTTTTTTCTTGGTCACCGATAAATGTTCATGTCAGGGCCAATGAAACATTTTTTTTCTTTTTATTAAATTTAATTTTTGAATTGTCCATTTGAAATGTGTATGCTGCAGATCAGGAATGTAAACTTTTTGCACTGATTATTTTTGCCCAAATGCATTTAGAATTTAAAGCAGTCTGCCCATATTTAGGTTCGACTAATGGCAAATTTTTGTTTTGGGAAACTGTCTTAACTGTGGCCAAATTTTGATAATATTTTGAACAATGATTACTTATATTTACCCGGTATATTTAAATATGCAAAATGAAAGTGCATAAATATAAAATACTGAAAAAAAAACTGTCAAGTGCCCATTATGCATGTTTATCTCTCCTTTGTGTCTAACGTACAAAGGGGGAGGGGGCTTTAATTAACATAATTAATGTTAATTAATGTTAATTAACAGATTAACATCGAAATCTGCCTCATGTATTTCAAATGAAACATTGTTTTTAGCACAAACTGTGAAGTTAAACATTTCTTGTTAACTTCATTATTATATGGTTTGCTGGAATGTAACTTTCAGCCTACAACAATTAGAAATTTATTAAATGGCTACTGTTAACACAATTTCTACCAACAAAAAATTGCATTTAGTATAATTTAGATCATAAATTCTACCCTTGCTAGCTGTATTTAACCTTTTGCAAGCTAGATGTACACATTTGGCTAGATAAGGGATCAAAACTTGCATTGATATGGCTTTTAATGTACAGAACTGCATTTGGTCAAACAAGCTCTTTCTTGACCATTCTCTGTGATGAAGAATTAATGTTGAATATTATAATGCATCTTTGTATATTGTTGTGTTGTCAATTAAGTCAGACAACTTCTGAAATTGTAAAACTGAATATTGCTGTGTCAAAAATTGTTGCATATGTAATAAAAGAACTATTTCTGTACAAAAAAGAAATTAAATTTTTTATTTTGATTTTAAGTAGTTATAAATTTAATATACAGCAGGTTCTCACTCCATGGAACCTGATCCCACATTTTGAGCTGGGTTGCTTTAAATCTGTAATCTCCATAATTCATACAGTTAACATGCTCATAGGGACAGCTAATTTTGATTTTGTATAAGCATGATTCATTATATCCAATAAGTTAATAAATTCTAAACCTACAGATACTTAGGAAAATTCTATTCCCCAGAGTATACAAATGTAGCAGTGTAGGCCTACTATAATATTCTGCATTTTTAGCAGACTTCTTATGTTGTGTACAATTAGTTTTGTTCAAGTCATAGCCCTCAGGTTAAAGATTGGAAAAAGGAGGGGCTTGTAAAAAAAAAAAATCAGTTTTAAATATAAACTTCATCTGCCAATAACTGTCATCACATAGTTTTGAGACATGAAATTAAGTACACATGTGATCTTCAGATACATGTACTTTGGTATTTTCATTTTCGTAGAGGTGGCTAATGAAAGCCTTGTAATCTTCATGTACAACAGAGAAAAATACATCGTATGTGAATGTGCATGAAATCTTTTTTATTGCTTTAAATTTATAATTTAATTTTCATGGGTGCTCTGGTTTGCAAACATTGAAGGATGAAGGACACCCGGTCCCTGCGATCTAGTATATCTACTGTCACATAAGGGATGGCTAAACTGTCGTACAGTCTTTTTAAGTAGGCTGTGTATGTGTGCAGTTCCTCCAATGTCGACACCAGCCTCACTTTGTCATCAGAGATGCACTCAGGCTGAGGTTCAATAAGAAAAATCACAGATGTCCGTAACCTAAATAAGATTGGGAAACAACAAAATTAATCAAATTAAGTGTGTAATTTCTTGCATAGGGATGGAACACTTCCTCGGATGATCACATGAGAGTAAACTTTTCAATAGAATGAATAGATCAAACTAAATATATGCTACCTCTCCATCATCTGTTGGAGTCCTTTTGTGTGTTTGATTCTCTCCAAAGCCTCAGGTCCAAGATACATCTCCGTGTACGCCATTGGATCTAGACACCGGTCGCAGAGAAAATCTAAATACAGAACCCAATAAATTTCTACAGAGTTGAGTCAAAATATATGGAAACTGAAGGTACTGTGAGTAGTGAGCTCACTAAATGATAACCCCACCTCCCATATGATTATAATGCCAAAGTTCATGTTTTGCTCTGGAGGACCTGAAAATGAAGTAGGGTAAGTCAGATTAAAAAGTAAAATAGGAGTTGTATAATGGCATTATGTAATAAAGAATCTGTGAAAGTATCATTAAATGTATTAAAAGGTATACATGTAGGGGGAGATGAGGATAAGAGATGGGCATCCTTCAATATTATTGATAAAATGACAATGTCAGTTAACCTGAAATACGAGGGTTGTCCGTAAAGTTCGCGGACAACGTTGATAATTACTGACAAACATTAACAAAATATATGAAACAATTATTATACCCCCCGCTTGAAAAGTGGGAGGGTATATAGTAATCGTTAATTCCGTCCGTCTGTACGTCTGTCTGTCCGTCCGTCCGTCTGTTACGCTTTGGGGTACCCTTCTCTTATCCGCAACTCCTCTCATACCAATGAAGGAAATTTAATGAAACTTTCACAGAATCTTGATTACATATTGCCATTGTGCACCTCCTATTTTACTTTTTGATCTGACATATATTTTGAATTTTCCAGAGCAAAACATGGATACTGCCATTATATTCATATGGGAGGCGGGGGTATTATTTAGTGAGCTCATTGCTCACAGTACCTCTAGTTTTCATTAAATTCATGTTTCATTTTTTAAAATATATGCCAAGTTTTCAACAAAAAGAAAGCACAAAAAGTTAATATTTTTATCAGATACAAAAAGAGACACACACTCATACCCGGAGCATTAAAAAAAACTAGAAGTACTGTGAGCAATGGGCTCACTAAATGATACCCCCCGCCTCCCATATGTGTATAAATGGCAGTGTCTATGTTTTGCAATGGGAAACCCAAAATATGTGTCGGATCAAAAAGTAAAATAGGAGGTGCACAATGGCAATATGTAATAAAGATTCTGTGAAAATTTCATTAAATTTCACTCAGTAGTATAAGAGGAGTTGCGGATAACAGAAAAAGCGTAACAGACGGACGGACGGACGTACAGCTAGACGGACGGACGGACGGACGGACGGAATTAACGATCACTATATACCCTCCCGCTTTTCAAGCGGGGGGTATAAAAATTCTTGACTTTACCCGACGTCAAATACTAATTACGAACACATTTAACTTTTCTCAGCATAGTCATCTTTTAACTCAATACATTTCTTATGTCGTTTTAACCAGGCATAAAAATGTGCACAAAATGTTCAGGTTTCATTCATAAAATAATATTTAACAATGACTGTCTCATATCCTGCAATCATCCAACCTCTGTCCGTGCAAAGACGATTTTATTTTCGGAAATACGGCAAAGTCATGATCACGTTACGAAATTCATTATACCCCCCGCTTGAAAAGCGGGAGGGTATATAGTAATCGTTAATTCCGTCCGTCCGTCCGTCTGTACGTCCGTCCGTACGTCTGTTACGCTTTGGGGTACCCATCTCTTATCCGCAACTCCTCTCATACCACTGAATGAAATTTTATGAAACTTTCACAGAATCTTTATTACATATTGCCATTGTGCACCTCCTATTTTACTTTTTGATCCGACACATATTTTGGGTTTCCCGGCCACAGGAAAACATGGAATTTTTCACCAGTTATAACCATATGGGAGGCGGGGGGTATCATTTAGTGAGCTCATCGCTCACAGTGCCTCTAGTTTTTTACAGCACTGCAATCTCGGAATGATGGTTTTCGTTCACGCATGTCATCCTGTAAACTGTTCTTTCAGTCCGAAAATATTATATGCCACTTAAATACTAGTGAACGACTTCTTTTACTATGTTTTTCCGATTGTTTACGGAATGTATTGGTCTACGCAGAATTTTATCACTGTTCACTGCTCCACTTATTCCGAAAACATTTCTTTTTTTAACAGTTACGATCCTGTCTCAATATGTTCTAACTATGATTGCTCAGCCATTTTGAAACCTTGAACGTTCCAATTTTGCAAATTTGACGTGACAACTTCTGTCAACCTCACAATGTAATTTTTTTTCCAGATTTCCCCACAATTTTATAAAATACAAATGAAATTTATGAAGTGGTAAATAATTTTTTTCATAAAAATTTTGCGGTGCTCCGGGTCTCCATTCCAAGTCTCATTATGAAGCCATAATTATACCCCCCGCTTGAAAAGCGGGAGGGTATATAGTAATCGTTAATTCCGTCCGTCCGTCTGTACGTCCGTCCGTCTGTTACGCTTTGGGGTACCCATCTCTTATCCGCAACTCCTCTCATACCGCTGAATGAATTTTGATGAAATTTCACAGAATCTTTATTACATATTGCCATTGTGCACCTCCTATTTTACTTTTTGATCCGACACATATTTTGGGTTTCCCGGCCACAGGAAAACATGGACTTTTTCACCAGTTATAACCATGTGGGAGGCGGGGGGTATCATTTAGTGAGCTCATCGCTCACAGTACCTCTAGTTGTAATTAAACATTTGAAATGGAATAAGATTTTACTTATTTCAATTCACATGTAGAAAAGGATTAGAAATATGCCAATAATAAATATCAATGACACAACTTTTATTACATTTTCGCTTGTCCATGAACTTTACGGACAACCCTCGTATGCTTCTGATCAAAAAGTAGAACAGGAGGTGCTCAATTGCACTATGTATAAAATATTCTGTAAAATTCTCGTTAAATTTCATTTAATGATATAAGAGGAGTTGCGTTTAAGAGATGGGTACCCCAAAGCGTAACGGACAGACGGACGGGCGTACAGAAAGACGACGGACATTCCGATCACTGCATACCCTTTCGCTCTTCAAAAATGGGATTGTTGTCAAAAATTATGTTCTGCTTGCGTAACTATCTTTTTTTCGGGGGTGAAGATACATATTTAATTTATATACACATTGCAGGCTAGTCCGAAACATCTGACGTTTCTGGCTCGTAAAATATCAAAACCGTCAAAAAGCCAGAAATACGTAAGATATTTCGGACCAATATCAGGCAAGTACCGGTGGAGGGGGGGGGGGTAAAAATCGCACCCAGAAAATTGTTGACAAACAAATAAAAGAGAGAAATTCTTTCCGCAAACGCAATTAAAAACCTATAGGGGAGTAGTCTTCTTTCAATTCTTTTAAAAGCTTTACACGTATGACTATTCCCAATCTACTTATTATTGTACCCCCCCCCTTGAAAAGTGGGACGGTATAGAGTGATCGAGATGTCCATCCGTCTTTTACCCGCAACTCCTCTAATACCACTGAATGATTTTTAATGAAACTTTCTCAGAATCTTAAAAAATGCTACATAGTGTCATTGTACACTTCCTATTTACTTTTTGATCGGACATATAAATCGGGTTTCCCATAGCAAAACATCGACATTGCCATTTTCTCTATAATATTGAAGAGAACACAATCATCTCTTATCCGCAACTCTTCCTATACCAGTGAGTAAAATGGAGTGGAGGTATTGAGTGAACTCAGTGCTCACAGTACCTCTAGTTTAACAGGGGTCTGCGTTTTCTATTGAGGGGAATCAAAGGTTATTTTTAGTTACCCTTAATTACTCTTTTATATTTGATAACTCCATGAATTTCAGAAGAGTCGATCCGGACCCCACCCTCTGGATCCGCGCAAACTTAGTCAAGCTACAAACCTCTTTTTTCAAGGAAGTTGTCCTTTTCAATTTTGATATTTGCTAAAAGAATTTCGGTGTTCAGTTGTTCAAACAC